TGTCACTATATACTTCTACCGGTGTTCCTCGGCGCCCCACAAACCTCATTAGGGCTATTATGAGTGAATCTGTATCAAGAGTAGCTGCTATCTCCAGGTGAACTGCACGTGTCTGCAGACAAGTGAACAGACAGCCATATCTTTTGTCCGTGCCACTACCTCTGCTTACGCAAAAGGTCCAAAGTAGTCGATCTCCACGTGAGAAAAACTGCACCACCCTGTTGGATCCTGCAGAGCCGTAGGAGAGCCATCATATGTCGTCCCATTGTAGCCGATAGACGTCGACATACTACACATTTTCCGATTGCACGTCTTACAGCCTAGCTACCGTTCACCATCCAATATTTCCTCCTAAGGGATGCTAGAACGCGTGAAATACCTGAATGCCCTTTGATGATATGGTAGTGTCGTATGATAAGTTTCGACACGGAATGACGATTTGGAAGGATAATTGGATGTTTGAATGCAGTTGAGTAGTTAGAATATTCCAGGTGTCCACCCACACTGAGTAGACCGTTCAGCATAACTGGACAGAGTTTATGTACAGGTCTAAACCTATGCGCGTCTTCCGCAGTTGTTTTGAGCGATTTATCTCCCAGGTAAACCTCCCTTTGCACCATCTTGAAGATATTAATTTCGGCCTCAGCTATCTCTCGCATGGTTATTCTCCCGTGTGGTAGGCACTCACCCGAATGATGCATTTTCCGAACACGGAGATATAAAACAAACCTTGTCAGCCAGACTACCGCCTTGGTGAGTCGCCACCAGTCTGAATAGTGATAGAAGAGCGGATTCCATGCATGAGTGGCAATAGTCCCGTTTATGTTTGCACACCCTTTTAGTTCGATGCCCTCTGGGATAGCGTCCCATGGTAGCTCCTCCGGAGATGTGTTCAGTCGATCCTGTAGGAAAGTAGGTCCCTTCAACCACTCTTCTAGGTCTTCCTCGTTGTATATACCTCTCGAGATCCAGTCTGCGGGGTTCTCCTCCAACTTTACATGCGCCCATTGACTAGGAGAAGAAAATTGATGGATTACTCCGATTCGGTTGGCCACGAACGTACTGAATCGAGTATTCGTGTTCTGTATGTAGTAGAGTACGATCATAGAGTCCGTCCAGAACCGAACCTCTTCGAAATAACTTGACAGACACCTTCTCAGCATACCACAGATGCGCGCACCCAACGCAGCCGCTGCCAGCTCCATTCGAGGTATCGGCACGGGTTTAATGGGTGCCACCCTCGATTTACTGTAGAGCAATACACAATAAGGGGACCTTCCCTTGGGGGTGTGCCGGACGTAAGCAACTGCACCATAACTGGATTCCGAAGCGTCGCAAAATATGTGCGGTTCGGTTTTCCCTGTTTGCTGAGGATCTTCTTTGCATATAGTCCTTGGAATGCTGATTTTCCCGAGTCTACAAGTGAACGCTATCAACGCATTCCACAAGTGAGAATACTCGGATGTCAGCGGCTGATCCCTACCTAACTGGGCTTTACACAGGCGTTGCAACAATTGTTTAGCGGGTAGGAAGAGTGGTGCGATTAGTCCCATTGCAGTGTCTGTAGTATCTGCAACCCAGGAATCTGGGAGAGAGTTCACCACCAACGGTGAGTTCGACATCCACTTTCTCAAATTAAACCCTCCTCGAAGTAACATCTTGCTTATCTCTCTCGCGAAGGGTGATCTTTGTTCGCTGGACGTAGATGATATAAGACAATCATCGACGTAAAAGTTGTTTTCTATTGCCTGAGAGACTGACCGATCGTAGAACACCGCAAAGGTTGAGGCGGTTTTGCGCAGCGCGAAGTTAGAACAGAAGGGGGATGACGTAGCACCGAACGGATAAGACAACATTTGGAACTCTGTAATTTTTCCGTTCACATCTCCTCCTGTCCACCCGAGGTAACATAATGCAACTCTGTCTTCCTCTGGCACATTCACCTGNCATAAACATTTCCTCAGAATCGACCAACAATGCAATACGCTCCTTGCGAAACCGAAGGAGTATTGAGACAAGGTTCACTGTTGTGCCAAGTCCTTGTAGCAGCATACTGTTGAATGACTTGCCCATGTACCTGACGGCGCAGTCTAATACTATACGGATATTATCCGGTTTCTTTGGTTTGATCACGCCACGGTGCGGTAGATACCATTTCGACGGATATTCTTCGTAAAGCTGGTAGGCGGGGACATCGGTCACATACCCCTTATCGATCATTAAGTTCATCGCTTTCACGTACCTGTTTCGTAGGGCTTCGTCACATACAAAACGGCACTTAAGTTGATTCAAACCGA